GAATTAATAAAAAATATATCGACATCTTCAAAAGTATATCCTACCGCTTTAAAAGAGTTTGCTTGTTCTTTACTCTTTTATTCTACATCTGCTTATATTTATGTTAGAAATAGTCTTTTAAAATCCTTACCTCATCCACAAACCGTAAGAAGATGGTTTTCTAAAATAGATCTTGGTCCTGGTATAAGCCAACCAGTATTAGATAACTTAAAAAAATTGATAGAGGAGAATTTGATAAATGGGAAAGAGTTACAATTTGGACTAGAAGTTGATGAAATATCAATTAAAAAATCTATTGAATGGGATGGAAAAATATTTCACGGAACAGTTGACTTAGGATTTAATAGCAATAATAATGATAGTGATGGAGAAGCTACATATGCTCTAGTATTTATGCTAGTTTGCCTAAATGGTCATTTCAAAACTCCAATTTCTTATTATTTTATTAAAGGTTTACCTGCTGATACGCGGGCAAATATTTTAAAACAAAATTTAATAACTTTATATGAAAACGGTATTTCTAATATTCGTTCCTTGACTTTCGATGGAGCACCATCCAATATACGCATGGCAGAAATACTTGGAGCTAATATATGGACTCTACAAGGACATTCATTTTTTCCTCATCCAATTACCAATGAGCCTATTGTGATTATTCTTGATGCATGTCACATGTTAAAATTAGTAAGAAACACAATGGCCAAATACGTATTAAAAGATAATGAAGGTATTTTTTTTAAATATATATATTTTATTAAAATTTGTATTGTAAATTATTTATTTTTTTTTAATTCAATATTTTTACATATATATTTTGTATATATATAATATTTCTATTTATATTTAAAAATATATAAGTAATATATAAATATATATATATATTTTTTTAAATAAATTTTTTAATAATTTTAATTTAATTAAGAGTTATTTTAGAAACTACAAGTGATTTTATTTTTATTTTTATTTAATTTATTTGAAATTTGAAGTTAAAATAATTACATTAATTTTATGTTTAATAGATAGCTTATAAAAAATATATATATATATAATAAATATAATATAAATATAATATAAATATATAAATAAAAAATATATAAAAATATATGTATAAAAAAGTGAATATAAATATATAAATTATATTATATATTATATAAAATATATAAAATTAAAGCATAATATTAAAGATATAAAGAAAATTTGTATAAAAAAATAATATTCTATAAATTGTTTATTAGAAAATAATATTCAGTGGTATTATTTGAAAAAGTTAGTGGAATGGCAAGAACAAGAAAAAATGCATGCAGGAACAAAAATTAGAAGAAGACATATAAATTTTTTTACTGAAAAAATGAAAGTTAAATTAGCTGCACAAACGCTGAGTACTAGGGTAGCTGATGCATTAATTTTTATGGAAAAAAAGTTTCCTTCCGAATTCAATGGAGCACATGCAACTTCAAAATTTTGTCGAACTGTAAATGATATTTTTGACTTTTTAAACAGTAGAAACAAATATGGAAAAAATGTTTCTAATGATTGTGTAACAGTCGACAATTTAAGCAAAATGGAAGAAAAAATTAAGCATTTTACTAATTATATCTCAAATGTAAAGATTATGCAAGAATGCGCAAAAGAAATTTCTATTTTGGAAAGCAAAAGAAAAACTGGATTTTGGGGACTTATTATTAGTATGAAAAGCGTTTTACATCTAGCAAAATTTCTTTTTGAAAAGCAAGCAATGTCCTATCTTCTCACATATAAACTTTCTCAAGATCATTTGGAAACTTTCTTTTCATGCATAAGAAGTATAGGTGGAAATAATAATAATCCAACTTGTCGTCAATTTAGATCCAGCTATAAGAAATTAATAACTCATGTAAATTCAATTGTTCCAAATGAATCCAATTGTACTTTACAAGATACAACAAGATTGTTTAAAATAGAAGAAAAAATTCAACTTGAACATGATAAAAATTTACCTATTCTAGTCAACTTTGAAAATGATACTAATAAGTGCAATAACTGGTGTTGGAATGAATATAATTCCGAAGTAGTAATGTACATAGCTGGTGCTATAGTAAGAAGTTTAAAGAATACATTAAAATGCGACATTTGTATAGAGAGTTTGGAGAGCAACACAATTTATTCTGAACTTCAAAAGATTAAAAATAGAGGAACTACGGATTCTATAAATAATAGAAGAGGCTTATTATCACCGGCTCCTGATGTAATAACTATTTGTAAAACTGCAGAAAAAGTATTACGAAGCACACAAAATCTTGTCTCTACAAAAAATATAATACCAAAACTTTTAATTTATACTAAAAAATTATTAATTCCATTAAATTTATTTGAAAATTTAGATTTTTTTATTGAAAAATCTATTAACAGTCACAAAGATGAACTAATAACCAATATTATAAAAAAGTATCTTAATATAAGATTATATTATGAAGGACAATCATTACAAGATAATATAAAACGAATTAGAAGTTTTCATAGTCGACTCGTTATTTTTAAAAATCAATAAAAAATTTTATGTTTTATGATATTGATATATTGACTTATGATATATTAAATTATGTTTTTTATGTTTTTTATTTTTT